GCCAAGACTCTCCAAGCCTTCCAAGAAGGCGGGATTCACCTGAGTGAAGAGACCATAGGCAGTGAGAGATGAGGCGTGGAGGCAATTAAGGTATGGCAGCTCAAGCAGTGGCCATCCAGGAGTGAGCAAGTCAACCGCAATTAGCTCTTCCTCGCACAGTACCAACAGCCCGGTGGCAGGACCTCCTGCAGTACCCAACGGACAGGCATCGACCACAGGGGAGGGTAGGTCCAGACAGACATGTTCTGGTGCATCAGAATCGAAGACATGCACCGGAGCCCCGGGTACAAGACCGTTAGGCAGAAGAATGTCGGCATTCATGCCAGTGTCACACACATCCTCACCCACTGCTGCATCTCCCTCGCTGTCAGCTCGCAGAGCGGCGGCTATATTTGCTGCAGCAGCCTGATCCAAATTAGACCCACGCAAAATGCTGACGGTATTTCGATCACCGTAGATAGAGCGCGGCATTCCACCCGTGAAAATTGTTATTCCGCCTCTGGTATGGATGAGAAAGCATAAAACCGTCCTTACCAATGAATAGAATAACAAAATCAACCAATGCGCGCACCCTCTCTCTTCCCTCCTCCCCCCCACAAGAACGAATGCTCAAAGGCGTCCAAAAGCTGTAATGTATGTCTGAGCCCTGCAGATGTCTAACATACATCGTTTGTGCTGTTACCAATGATGAACGCAAAGCGTGAGAAGCAGTGAGCACGAAGAGCAAAAGGTGGAGAGCTTGAGACATGCTGAGGACGATGGTAAGATAGTTGTTCAAGGCATTGCATTGGAAGTGGAGACACCTGAACCGATACTCAGTCAAGTGTAATAGAGTCGCCCAAGGCGGTGACAAGAATGTCAACTTTACTAAGCTGCAACAGTGATGATGGCATTATCAAATTTGGCTAAATACTCTCCTCATCCTCCTTTGAAAGTATTTGTTTTGATGAGTGGAGACTGCTTCGGTGGGACAGACGAGACTCGTTGTCGTGTTTGAAGTGACGACGAAAATACCGTGTCAAGTGCGTATCAGCACATGCGGATGGCAGATTTTCTTTTCGCTTGTGGCCACAAAACGCTGTCATCACTCCAAGGTCAATTAATTATGCATTCATGTGTAGAAGTGAGCACTGCGAAGTGGACAGCAATGGTGTCCAAAAGGACTTGGGTACCAAGTCACCCACAAGTCAGTGTTTGGTGGAGCACGAGGCAACCCATCTCCTCATCCAGCCACACTTTGATGCATTAACCGTATTTTGTTGTGGAGAAGGAGACTTGACCTGCATTTTGCAGCAGACTCCTTTATTCTAGCAAAGGCCTCTTACCACTTCAAATCGCTTCAATTGTTTATCCCCTCCATCTCATGGAGAGATATAACTTTGGCTTACTGGCTTGCTGATGCAGCGGTGGCCTTTTTTCGCAACATAATCAGAGCATTTTGTTACATTTTGATTCAATGAGACAATCCAAGGCTTCAAAATTGACGCAAAGACATTCTCAGAGCATTGCCAAATCAATTACTTCCCCAAGCATCATTCAGTTCATCCAACAATGCGGATAGTCTTCAGTGATGAAGTTTGACTTTGCGCACTGGACGCGCATGAACAAAACGTTTATTACCACCTGGCGCAGCATTTCTTGGTCCCGAAGGGAGACAGAAACGTTTCAAATAGGTATGGCGAAGGTAATTGAAAGTGCGTAAGGAAGAAGATGTAGAGGATCCATCTCTTTGTGTCACATAAAATAGCAAGAGTTAAATGTGTCAAAAGGTATAAGTTGGCTCTTCAAAAATCGCAGTTTCGATAGCCTCTCCTCCACCTCACTGATGTGGATCATTACGACTTCAAGAGACGCATTGCTCTACAAGACTACGGAGAAAAGCAAAGCATCTGCGGTGACTCAGTGTGTTTAGTCGCGTTTGAGTGCATTCGAGGCTCACAATCTGATTGAAAATGCTAACTAGAAGTTTCACCTCATCCACAAACGAGTTTGTGCATTTCTTTCATTTGCTTTTTTTTTTGGAGGAAAGAGAAGGAGCAATTTAAAAAGGCAAAATTACTTACTCATGAGACAGTAGCCAAAAGACCTTACCGATCAGTTTGCAGGGAAACGGACCTTAAAGGGAGAAACAGAAAAAGACGGGAACCAAGGATCACATATTATGCAAGCAGCCTCAAGCAGAACCTTTACAAGATCAACGGGATGGATAAGATAATAAAACAACAATATTTTGCACCAGACATTCAAATCCGATCGTATGAGGAGTCAAAGGTGCAGTATTGAAGCTGCTTCTAAGCTACCAGAGTAAATGGTGACAAAAGTGGAATTCGGCCTGTGTGGAAATAAGAAATTGCTATCACTGGTACTTAGGATCACTACAGTGAGGCATTCTTTTCATGGCTACTATTCCATCATTTTTGATGTGACTATGGAAATGAGGATGAAATACCTGAGCATACCACGGCATGCTGACAACATTAGAGCGCCTTAGTTAAGCAACACAGCCTCACCGTAAGGCATGCTAGGCGATTCCATCATCTGGAGTGTCTGAGGCCCCAACTCAGTGGCCAAACCGGGCCCGGTGGCAAATAGTGGTATTTGCCATACACCCAGGGAACCGTTTCCGTACGCAGTGATTACGCGAGTACCCAAATGAGGCGGTGTGGCTGTTGGGTTGACTGCTGCCCCCCTAACCGGCATCCCACTGCCTCCACACCACGCCGCCGATTCAAGTTCATACTGGCAAGGCAAAAGGGCCAAAACTCGCTCGCCTTGTAGGTCGTAAAGCACACAGACACCACCGCTGTAGCCAATTAACAACTGACTCGGATAGCTGGGTCGCTCTAACAAGACCACCACAGCGTCCAAACGCAAGCGAGCGCGCTTTTCTGGAGGAATACTAAAGAATGAACGCTTCATCACTTATTTCCTGATAACCTTTGGGTGCAGAGTTATTCAACTAAAGCTACAAGGAGAAAAAAACTAAAGCATAAAATTTACAAATTAAGTCAATCCATGGAGGTGAACAAATAATTTTGTGAAAATCGTGCAAAACAATCACGACAAATCGAAATCCTAACCATTTTTTAAGAAGTAACTTGCAAAAAAAGAACAGACAAGCCGCAACGCCTGCAAGACAAAATTCTCAGACAGTAATAACAAACCACTGTTTATCAGGCTTACTATAAATATAAACAATAAAATTAAGATAGCAAAACTAGCTAAATGACACCACTGGAAGGGCAGCATGCTGCTACTACTAGAAGTAGGCTGTTGAGATCAACGACATAAACATTTTCACAACAAATTATGTTTAAATAATGGTTTAATCTTCCCAGGACCCAAAGACTCGATTAGATTCTCGATCACTACATTACAAAATATCACCCTGGTAATGGCTAAAAACCATATGTCTACGACAAAGTTGGAAGGGCCTTGCGATCGCAGTTAGTCTGCAAGTTGCAAACGCGCGAAACCTATTTCCAAAGCCCAATGCTAAAAAGACTTGAGTGAGCCAGCCTAATATCAAAGCAACAGTAAAAAACTTATAAAACAAGCTTTTATGCTAATAGAGTGGGATGTCAGAGGCCTCCTCATACACACATGGAAGTCAAATTTCAAATCACAAAAGCCAACTTGGATGAATCAAAAGATTTTGGGAGAATTAATGTAGCAAGATGAAAGACATAAATATTGCTGCGAAGAAAAGTTAATAAAAATAAATTAACGAAGGTTCGTAGGGATCAGTAAATCGTGGGAGCCAATGGAACTGCAAATCGAGCCACGACTTCACTACACTGCGCCCTCATGCATGTGAGAAAATGCACTCCGTACTCACTAAGCTGCCAAAGGCACTGAGAATAACTGACTCATTTCGTGTTGTGTGAGAAAAGAGCGTCGAGGAGAGGTTGTGCACCCTACACATACCTAAACACGCGTGTTATGTGAGCCCGTGCAAGTATTAGCCAGGATGTAGGCAATCCCAAATAGGCATAGGAAAATGTTTGCTCGCTAGAACCTATAAATACACTAGGACGCAATCTGGTGCACTTATTAGTGCATCTGTAAAACTAGGTTCGTAGAGATGCATGAGTATGCAAAAACAATTGTTGAGTGCTAAGGCTAAAACATTTGAAAAATGATTAACTTGTGATGAAATGTCACAGCTGCCATATGGATATCCTCAAAATAAAGTCTAGAATGCTTCGACATAAATGAACATGGACAAATGGATGAATTTTTCTCTATGGCATAGTACGCGTGAAGGTGAACAATCAACGAACCTCTGCAGCACACGATGAGGTGTTATCACCTCATCCTGAGATGGAAAAATCCACATTGTACTCTCATCTTGAGCAACACCTTGTTTGACGTGAACGTCACGCCGAATAGAAGCAACGCTTCCTCGGTCCGTACCAATGAA